AAATTGCTGTAATTATTCTGGGAAACAATTTGGCAAGTGACTTAAGTTTCCTTCGTCTAGTAATTCAACTTCTGAGAACTTATATTAAGAAAAATAACCCAAAATATGGGTAAAGCTCTATGAACAAACACTTTAACAACGCTGTTTATAACATGAAAAGTTGGGGTCAGACTAAAAATCCAGTGTTTCAGTGAGAATATCATGTTGTTATTAAAAATGACAATAAAACAAGGAAGAACTATTACATGAAAAAAACTGGAATATGTGTGCTCTGAATAGCACTAGGAAAAATAACCAGAAAGAAATTCAGAATATAAACTGGCTGAATTAGTGTGGTGGGATTTTTTTTTTCTTTTTCTTTCTGCCTACTCTTCGTTTTCAAAATATAATTTCGTATGGTTATATTACTTTAATATCGGGAGAAAATGTTATGAATTGAAAAATTATATTCTCTGAACAGTGAAAAGAAAATATTTACATTATTTTCTTATATTATCTCTTCTCCTACTTTTTTAGTCCCAGTTGAAGTCCAAGACCCTCATTTTACAAGTGAGGGGGTCTCTGGCTGCAAATCAGTTAGAAGATTAAACCCAAGATCTTGTATTTTATTCATGGAATAACCCAAGATTCTTAACCAGCAAGCGAAGATTAAACCCAAGATCTTGCATTTTATTAATGGAATAACCCAAGATTCTTAACCAGCAAGCAAGGGCTCTTTCTTTCATGACAACGGTCTCAAAACTCTTTTTTTTTGCGGTACGCAGGCCTCTCACTGTTGTGGCCTCTCCCGCTGCGGAGCACAGGCTCCAGACGCGCAGGCTCAGCGGCCATGGCTCACGGGCCCAGCAGCTTCGCGGCATATGGGATCCTCCCGGACCGGGGCACGAACCCGTGTCCCTTGCATCGGCAGGCGGACCCCCAACGACTGCGCCACCAGGGAAGCCCTGTCCAAACTCTTTTGATAATGTACCCCTACCAGTAAAAAATAATTTGAGACTGCACTGCCAATATATGCATATTTACTTATTTACAGATGTGCTATTAGCTAATATAGTATGTATCTTATATAAGAAACTTTTAAAAAGGAGAAACATAAAAGAACAGCATATAAATAGAAGTTTGGCTATTTTTTTCCTCCATGCACCAACTGATGTCCTGGCACACGTCCCCTCCACAGCCCCCCCACGAGGGGTCCACTCTTCATGCTAGAGCGTGGTGTAGTGACAAGAGTGCAGCCTCCATGGTCAAAAGGACTTTGCTTTGAACGTTATTAGCTCTGCCACATACTAGCGCTTGATGCCTTAGGATAATTAGTTCATGTTCAAGCCTGCTGCTCCATCTGTAAAATGGTAATAAATAATATCCATCTCCTACAGTAATATGAATCAAATAAGGTATACATCTTCTGTACAAAAGTCATCCAACAAGGCCTGGTACAAAACTGTAAATTCACTGTTATGAAACTCCACTACTCCCTCAATTCCACGTTTTTTATCATTTCATTTTTCCTCTCTCTCTAACTGCTATTTCAAACCTTCTCTGCTCTTCCAAACCTCAGTCAACCTACTTCCCCCATTATTCTTAGTTGTTGATCTCACATATAATTTTAGGGAGAAATCAGAAGTCACTTCAACTTTCCACCAAAGCTATAAACACAAACCTGCCTCTATACACATAACTTCTCAACTTTCAGTCATTTAACAAATATTTATTGCGTACCTTTTAGGGGTCAGACACTGCTCAGACACCAGGTACTGGTGATGGATTAGTGAATAAAACAGATAAAGTTCATGCTGTTGTAGAGCTTATATTCTAGGGATGGTATAAAAAATGACCATGGGATAAATTACAGAATGATATGCCATGGGGAGAAATACAGCAAGGTAAGGTTTAGAAGGATGCAGGGATAGGGTTTTGCTATTTTGGAGGAAGTGGTCATGGAATGCCTGAAAGGTACTCTTGAGCAGAGACACAGAGATAGCAAGAAAATGAAGGACCTGGCCATGCAGTTATCTGTGAGAAGAGTGTTCCAGATCAAGGGGTAATAGCAGCTCTCAAGGCCCCTGAAGGAGACACATGCTTAGTGTGTTGACAGAACAGCAAGGAAACCAATGTGACTAAAACAGCATTACAGAGGGTCAGAGAAGTGGTGTGAGGCCAGGCCATGTGCAGCCTTTTAGGTTACAGTAGAGAATTAGGTGTTTACTCTCAGTGAGCTCAGATATGACAGCAAAGTTCTGAGCAGAGGAATAATATGAACTGTCTTGTGTTTTGTTTTTATTTATTTATTAATTTCTTTTTTTGTGCGATACGCAGGTCTCTCACTGTTGTGGCCTCTCCAGCTGCGGAGCACAGGCTCCGGACGCGCAGGCCCAGCGGCCATGGCTCACGGGCCCAGCCGCTCCGCGGCTTGTGGGATCCTCCCGGACCGGGGCACGAACCCGTGTCCCCTGCATCGGCAGGCGGATTCTCAACCACTGCGCCACCAGGGAAGTCCTGTCTTGTGTTTTGAAAGGATCACTCTGGTACTGTGCTGAAAATATACGGAAGAGGGCAAACACAAAAGCAAGGAAACGTGCTGAGAGGGTGCCGTACATATACCAGCAGGGATGCTGGTGGCTTGGACCACGGTGGGAGCATGGAGGGGCACGAGCTAACACTTGCGTGCTCTGAGGGTATGGCCTACAGAATTGGGTGATTGATTGAGTGTGGCGTCTGAGAGAAAAAGAGTAGCGAAGGGTGACTCCAAGATTTTGATCTGAACAAGTGGAAGGATGGAGTTGCCATTATTGAGATGGGAAAAATGTAGGAATAGAAGGATTTGGGGAGCAAGTAAAAAATCAGAAGTTTATTTCCAGGTACTTGGAATTTGAATTTGAAATTCCTATTAGATGCCAAATAGGAAGCAGGAAAGGAGTCTGGAGTTTAGGAGAGAGGATCAGGCTAATGAGTAATTTGAAAGCGATGAGATAGTATATAAAGTCATAATGTAGATATATAAGAGAAGAGGTCCAGAGATTGAACTCTAGGATAATCCAACGCTTTAGAAGTTCAGGAGATAATGAGGAACCAGCAGAGGAGACCTAGAAGGAGCTGCCACTATAAATAAAAATAAAATTATTTTGATGAGAAAGGAGGTAAGCACATTCTAGAAAGAAAACTATGGCATGGTGTACACAGGAAACCATGTACATAAGAACGACTAGAGTACAAAGTGAGGAGTTAGAAATTTGGACGAGGGTCATCGTTGCCAAACTAGGGAGACTGGCCTTCACCCTGTGGGATGGGCAGAGTCACTGAATAGACACAAGCAGCAGAGTGAAGGATGGATTTTTGCAGAATTCTCCGAAGGGAATGCAGGCAAGATTGTCAAGGGTGACACCACAGAGAAGACTGCAATGTCTCAGATGACAGAGATGACCAAGACTCTGAATTACGGCAGGGATGGAAAATAAAGAGAAAGGGGCTTGAACTGAAAAAGAAAAGTTAGGAAGTGCAAACCTTTCCAGGATTTGGACGCTGGGGGAGGTGCAAGGATGCCAAGCTTCTGGCTTGAATGACAACGTGGTTGGCAGTGGCATTAACCCGTAGAAGAAACAGATGAGTCACGGTTTGGGGAAGGAGAGGGTGGTGGCTTCAGTCTCAGATGTGTTGTGTTTGCGGTGTCAGTGCAGTGATCAAGGAGCTGTTTGGCAAGGAGATATATAAATTTGAAATTCGTGGGAGAGGTCAGGCTAGAAACAGATCTGGGATATGTCAACGCAGAGGTCACAGGCAAAAACCACCAGAGTGGATGAGATGACCTACGATAAAAGTCAGCATTTTCCTTCAAGCCTACAACTAAGGCCAGGATGAGGGTAAGAAAGATGATGGGAAAGAAGAGAACATGGTAGGAGGGAGGAAAAAGAGGTAGGAAAAAAAGTAAGTAGAGAGAAGAAGAAAAAAAGGCTATATATCTAATGCATTCTAGGCCAAGCATGCCATTAATACTGTGCAAATATCTGTGGTTTTGTTTTTAATATCCTTTCCCAGTTCATACAGCACATTTATTGGCCTTTTTGACCACATTTGCATTTCAAACAGATTACTTCAGGAAACAATTCTAAGTGATGCCTAGACTTCTTTTTTTTTTTTAACGTTAGCCTACTAAAACTACATTATTATTACTGGAGCAGAGTTTATTTCTATTCAATACCATGTACTAGACTAAGTGCCAAGGGTCCAAAATTGAGTAAAACACAGTCCTCTGCTTCAAGGACATTTAACCAGGATCAAACACCCAGAAATGGGCTTCCCTGGTGGCGCAGTGGTTGAGAGTCTGCCTGCCGATGCAGGGGACATGGGTTCGTGCCCCGGTCCGGGAGGATCCCACATGCCGCGAAGCTGCTGGGCCTGTGAGCCATGGGCGCTGAGCCTGCGCATCCGGAGCCTGTGCTCTGCAACGGGAGGGGCCACAACAGTGAGAAGCCCGCGTACCGCAAAAAAACAAAACAAAACAAAACAAAAAAAACCAGGAAACAAAAAGTTCGCCAGAATGATCTTTTCAAAATGCATATTTGAACATATAACTCTATTTAACATATAGTAATTAATTAATTTAAAAAAAAATAAAGTAGAGAAGATTAGTTAAGTCGTTGATTTGTTGTTATTGTTTCTGGTGGCTGACAGCCAACTAATGCACCATTAGTATGACAATTATAATAGAAATATGTCTACCTTCAGCTCTATCTTTTTATCTATCTATCCATCCATCCATCCTTCTGCCTCACTCTAAAGTAGAAATGGAATGTATAACATATTTAATATTGTAAATATAATACTCATCCAGTGCAAAAATAATATTTATCAAGTGAAAATTCAAGTATTTAATTAACACATTAATATAAAAATCACTACACTAAGTTTGCAACATTAATAAAAAGACATAAAACTCATTCTTCAGACATCAGTATTACAGACTTCCATCTTTAGGACATAACTATACTAATATTTTAACTTACTTCTTTTGAAGGATTCATTGGTAATGTAAAGATAGTTTTCCAATACGACCAGACAAACATTGCAAAAAGTAGATGATACGCAATCAGGCACACAACTAAAATGAGAGAAACAAAATTGTCACTTTAATATGCAAGTACATGCTAAAATCATGGTATTCACAAAAGATGTGCTTGTTCTAAAATAACCAAATAATTTAATTATTTAATTACTTACTAGCCCATGATTAGAACCCTCCCATCTGTAGACAAGCCCATCTATCGGCAAAATGGCTACGGGGACCTCTCCTGAGTTGTAAAAATAAGGCAGCTATGCCTGCAACTTTAAATAATAAACAAAGTGTTAAACGAATGTTAAGACATTCAGGCTGTAAGAACTTTGCTTCACTAACAAAGAATAGCAAAAGCAGTTCCTGCTTGAGCGGTTTGCCTATTTTGCTCAGCTCGAGTCAAATCTGGTGGGCCTGTTTCAAGGACAGTAGTTTGAAACAGAGATCTTCTGAACAAAGAGAGATTTCCTCCAAGAGCAGTTCAAGTTTCTTACTGATCACATGGGACAATTGTTAACAAAAGCATTCTGAGTATTTTTTTAAGGTAGTGTACCTAAACACACTTTGTGTGGTATTTTAGTCTTGAAGTCTTATGCAAAGCTGAAATATTAATTTTGTACACAGTGATAATGATTAATTCTGCATAATACAGTAATATATAACTTACTTGTGTAAGATGCAGTTGAATAAGATATGCTAATTTAATTTAAAATATAGCATGTTTGGTATTTTTAAACCTTAACAGCCATTTTGGCTTTTTAAAAGCAGCTGATATTCCTATTATAGAGCCATTAAAACATTCAGTTACCCCATAAGGCACTTAAATCGGTGTGAGATGACTAGACCCAATGATATTTTTCATGAATTATCTAGGTGACTCAGGTATGGGGTCAGACTCTGAGTTGAAACAGGAGATTGTTGATATTCCTGTTATCTTGGAGCCATAAGAACCTGGCACAGTGACTGCCATTTCAGGGTTAAGTTCTCTGCCAAGCGTCTGAGAGAATTCAGTCTGGGGACTGAGAGAATGAGACGCCTTTAACCCATCCTGACTCCAACATTCTCCAAGTATGACTTACTCCAACCAAATCAAAATGAATGCTATTTGTTTTTGCCAACGATTTTTAAAATTTTAGACTGAAGGCAGTGATATATCTTACCTTGTTCTCCAATATTTTCCATGGACACTATAGAAATAAATAGAGAAAAGAGACAGGCAATAGGTTATAAGAAGCTTATGGCAAACAGAGGGCCTGACAGAGACAGAAGACGCTTGAGTAGGTTAATAATGTGGCTCTGTTTCAAACCAACGTTCTTTAAATATTTGTTCAACGTTGTTTCGAGGAGGGATGAGCACTACGGGAGACAGGTGGGGAGGGAAGGCGAGTGGCCGCCCTCCACGAGGCCCCCGCTGGCGCTCCAGCCCTGGCTGCCACGCAGAAAACTAACCCTGCCAAGCGTGGCCCTGGCGGGTCTCACTCCTTTATCGATCGGTTTCTCGGGTTTCCTTCCAACTACAGAGCTCAGATGAAAGCTCTCCAGCTCATCACATTGCCAGTGGCACTGATTGCTCTTTATAAGTTGGCAACCACCGAGTTAGCTTTCCAGAAGGAAAAAAATGTTGTGTCCACGGCATACACTTCTCTTGCCGTATTTCTGAAAGGATGAATTCTTACGCCCGATGACTAACTGCTTCCTACTGTACAACAAGGGGCCCAGACCACGTGCCCGAGAAACTGCCATCCCTGAAGGGCTGCTGTAAATATCGCAAGGTGGCAGGTAGATTGAGGGCAGGGACCACAGAGCTCAAACAAGCTGGGACAAAAAGCCCCACTCCAGCAGTTTTCTTGCCTTCTGTTTGTCTACTTGTTTTGTTTCCCATGTGGTGGTCATCCTCCATTTGTACTAAAGTCTTCAGGAAGCTCTGGCCTATCTCAGTTGTAGCAAGGGAAGATTTGACTTTATTTACGTAGTTTTGTTCCTCCTTGGCTATTTAAAGGGATACAGTATTCTGGGCCTTTGTCCTGGAGTATATTTTCATTGCCTTAAGAAGCACTGAAATCAGGGTAATGTGAGAGATTTTTAAGATTACCTGATCCAACCAACCTCCTTCACAGGAGAGCTACCGTTTAGCCATTTCTAGAGTGAGCAGGAGACACCGTTTTGGAGAGCAACCCACTCCCTTCCTGGATTGCTCTTAAGAATGACTGTACGATCAGAGGGTGCCGAAATGAGCCTCTTGTGGCTTCTACCTAATGGAATCTAGGCTTCCAATCTGTAGCAATAAACAGAAAATCTAAATGGCAGACCTTCATGTGTTCTCTTTTAACCTAAAAAATAGATGATTTCGGGCTTCCCTGGTGGCGCAGCGGTTGAGAGTCCACCTGCCGATGCAGGGGACGCGGGTTCGTGCCCCGGTCTGGGAAGATCCCACGTGCCGCGGAGCGGCTGGGCCCGTGAGCCATAGCCGCTGGCCTGCGCGTCCGGAGCCTGTGCTCCGCAACGGGAGAGGCCACAGCAGTGAGAGGCCTGCGTACCGAAAAATAGATGATTTCCAGATTTCTCACCAACCTTGATGTGGCTCCTTTAAACATTTCCTGGTCTCTCAATTTCCTTTTACCTTTCTGATCCCCATGATGGGACAGGCAGACACAGGTGATCTTTGACTTACAAATGGCCTGTTCCACAAGTGTGCTTGTCCACCAGAGGTGAGAGTCATAGCGCACTTTCTCATAGAATACGTGAAGACGTTAATGTGAGGCCAGAGGAAGGACCAACCTGGCTTTTCTGTCTGACCTCTACCTCTCCCTTCATGCATTTCTCTCCAGGCTCTGACTTCCCTGTCTTCAAAGTGCTCCAAAACTGACTACAGCTCTTCCTTGGATCAACATTTTTCCTCCTTCAGCTAATCTAATGAAATGCAAAAGCACTTTTAATGCATTCGTGCATTTATATAGGAATGACCCTTAATGACCATTTCAGAGGTGCTGGTGTTTTAAAGAAAATGTATTTGCTAACCCATGACTCTAGCTGTCAGAACTGAAACAGTAAAACAAAATGACATTAAAAAAAGAAAAAGTACAGTTAGTATGAGGTGAGAAGTTTTTTGCCCTGGACCATTATTATATTGACGGGATATGCATTCAAAGACATCTTTTAAAAAGCTATTTCTGCCCTTCACAGTTTGTTTTTCTCTTAATGTACTTCAAAATTCACAGATCTTCTTCTTTTTTTTTCATTTAAACAAGTTACTCATGGATGCATGCTTACGGTAAATAATTCTGATAACATTTATAGAGTTAAATGTGAAGGTCCAAAAAGGCTGTATCAATTACACTCCCCCAAATTGTGAACCTATCCAATTTCCTATGAATGTAAAATGTCTTTAATTTTTGTCAACATTTTAGGCCAAAATAAAAAATCACTGTTTTAGTATTCATTTCCCTGATTACTAGTGAACTTTTAAAAATTTTTATTAAAAAGTAAAATGACTGGCTTTTCCGATCTCTTCTGATTAAATTACCACTTTCCCATTGGTCTACTTCTCTTTTACTTATTGAGAGCCTTTTATATAGTACCCTGGGAAGTAATCCCATATTTGTTACATATGTTCCAAATAAAGTTGTGTATAACTACTTTCAAATGACTTAATAGGTTAGGGGCTTCCTTGGCGGTCCAGTGGTTAAGACTCCACACTTCCAACGCAGGGGGCGCAGGTTCGATCCCTGGTTGGGGAACTAAGATCCCACATGCGGCATGCCGCAGCAAAAAAAAGACAATAAATACTAGCAAAATCTTATGGTTTATCCCTGATTAAACAGCAGTATCAAAACTTTCAAACTGACCTATTTCACTAACAGATATATGGACTATACTTGGTTTTGCTTTATGATCTTGAGGAAATTAATGTTCTTTCAACCATGTTTACCTGTTTAGTGGGTCAATGGTTCACCTTGTAATTTTCAATTTAGTGGAAGAGTTGTCAATTTCAACATTTCCTTTCTCAGACAAAACCACATAGAATACAATGTTATTTTCTATTTTGTTCATAAATGACTGTTGAAGAAAAGGTTATAATTTAGCCACATATGTTATATGTATATAAAGATAATATATGGGAAATACAGACTCATTTTTGGAAAAAATAGATGGTAAGTCAAAAATAGATGGTAAGTCAAATGTAATTTGACTATTTATATCAACATGAGAATTAAATAGCAATACTGATCATATTTATGACAGATCTTCCAAAGATCTACTGGGTTTTAATGTGAATTTTGAGTTTTATTCAGTATTAATTTTATTATTTCACAGAATTTCAGTTTGGTCTATTTAAAAATTATGCTGATACTTATTCTCCAACTACACACACACAGAAATTTCAAATCTTTTATAACCATCATTAACATATTTTGTAAAAATGACTTTTGAGGTAATTTAATATAGTTATTTCTATTTTTATTAAAAGAAAATGGAGGCAGATGAGCTTTACTCCAAGTCACAATGAGTAGCACATTAGTTAATTCTATCTGAGAAATTCTTTTATTTTCAATTTTAAAGTTTTACGCATGTGACAAAAATATTATGATTTGGGCTCTGCTGGATCTTATTAAAATTAGTTCCTTATTAAAGTACAATAACTGGCATAGAGCATCTGCCCCATAAATGTTTACTGAATAAAGACAGAAACGGCGCAGTGGTTAAGAATCTGCCTACCAGTGCAGAGGGCGCGGGTTCGAGCCCTGGTCCAGGAAGATCCCACATGCTGCAGAGCAACTAAGCCTGTGCGCCACAACTACTGAGCCTGCGCTCTAGAGCCCGCGAGCCACAACTACTGAAGCTCGCGCGTAGAGCCCGTGCCACTGCAATGAGAAGCCTGCGCACCACAACGAAGAGTAGCCCGCGCACCACAATGAAGAGTAACCCCTGCTCTCTGCAACTAGAGAAGAGTCCACGCGTAGCAAAGAAGACCCAGTGCAGCCAAAAATAAATAAAACAAATAAATTTACTTAAAAAAAAAAGACAAACAGAAGAAAACACCATTAATTTGAATCATAAAAGTGGAATCCCAAAGCACACCTATGAGAAACGTTAATTCTTCTGTTGACTTGAAAATTTCAAGAACAAAGTTATTTCTTTTACCTGTCATCTTAGCACACTGTAGAAACTCAACTAGTAATTTGCAAAACCAAGAGTAATCTTATCTGTACTGCCTGCTAGCATACATCCCCAGAAGTGAAGACAATACCTCATTACACAAAGGAGACAGAGACGACCAAGTGGTTCATGATCCTCTAAAAATTAAAAGCTTGAAGAAGACACTGGCTTCAACTTGGCTTCAAGCAACTTTAAAAGAAGATAGAAAGGTTTTATACGTTTATAGGGTTTTTCCCTCCTAATTTTGGCTCTTCCTTAGTACTTTACTTTTTAATAGTTCAGTCTGTCAAAGTGAAGAAGAATCTTACTAAGCACAACCAAACTAAAGAGCAAAGGCTCTGGATAAAGACCGGCAAAGCTCCATCCTATTTCTGCCACTTGCTGGTTTACACAGTGATTCTACATATTCCATCATGAAGTGAGGGTAGTAATAACAACAGCAATATCATCAGAGCTGTTGTGGAATTAAAAGAGGTAATACATGTAATGTACCTAACATAGTACCTGGCACACAGTAAGCCCCCCAAATATACAAGCAATTATAATACATGATATTTAATTTTGCAAATACTAACTGTAATAGATAACATATAGGAAAGGGACTACAAATTACAAAGAGACAAGTAGTATTTGTACAGACCTCTGAAAGACATCAATGCAAAATTCTGACTAAAAATAGACTTTACAAAGTGAAAAATAAAAGGTGAAAAATAACTTAGATCTCCATATCTTGCCTTTTTATATAGATGTGTCATTCCAGAAACGTGATAAATAAAAATGGTGGTACTCATCCTTACACAGGGTAATGATGAGACATAAAGACTTCATTCCTGATGTGGCAGTCAGTCCATGTGAGAACTTCACTAAAAGTGAGAAGATCTATTTTGGATGTGACACAATCTGTTCAACTTAATGAATAAGAACAATGACTTTTTTTTTTAAAGGCCTAAATATTATATTCATTCCAAAAAAGTTAGATGCAATTTACTCTTGAGAATAAGAGCACTGCTGTTGTTACACTAAAATAGTT